AGCTGTAAGGTAATCTAGGGGCATATTAATTTCTTTCTCATGAATAAACTTACAATCTCTTTATCATCAGGTAATCAATAAGCTCGAGCCCCTACCCCAGTTCAAATTATTTAATGAACTAGAGAAACCTTTTTTTCATAAAATAATTACTCTTATTTTTCTATATTTAAATAATTTAAATAAATAATTTAAATAATTTAAATAATTTAAATAATAAAATTACTCAATATATGCCTACACAATTTATTAATAGAATTAGTAAAGATAAGGACACATAATTATTTATAATATTTTGGATATGATCAATGTCACAACCTAATGTCACTTCAAATATTCAATATGTCAGTTGACTTTTAATTCATAAAAATTATTCTTATAACATTCACTTTTTCTCCACAGTAAATAGTAATAAAGTATATAAATATATATAAAGTGTATAAATATATATAAATAATATATTGTATATAATATAATAAAAATATCTTCCGAATACCTACTTTGCAAAATAAATTTGAGAACAGCTTCTTCAGAAGACAAAAACATTTCCATGTCCTTTCTTGGTCTTCATCATCTTTTCCCCAGGAAACAATATACTCAGCTTCTCTTAAGGAGGTAGGGAACCTGTGGCCTCCAGGCCACATGTGGCCCTCCAGGTCCTCAAGTGTGGCCCTTTGACTGAATCCAAACTCCACAGAACAAATCCCTTTAATAACAGTATTTGTTCTGTAAAACTTGGACTCAGTCAAAACGTTACACTCAGGGACCCAGAAGGCCCCAGGTTCCCCACCCCTGTATCAGACTTAAGCCATCACTCTTTAAAGAATTTCTCTTCACAGTTTCTCAAGGGGATCCTCATAGGTAAAACTCACACCTTCTTTAATAGTCCTAAAGAGGAAGATGTTTTACATCACCTTTCTCCATGTCTTCTCCACAGATTATCCATAGATCGTCATGGATTGCAGATACACACACACACACACACACACACACACACACACACACACACACACACACCCCTTCTTCCTGACTTCTTAGGGAGAAGCTTCTCACAATAAGCCATTTTTTCACCTGTGTTTTCATAGATCTTCATGGATCACTGGTAAAATATATGCCTTCTCTTTGATTCCACAGGGAGCACTTAATATCAAGCCTCTTTTTAAAACTGACTTTTTCAACTACTAACACCAATTGTTTCTCCCAGCACTCTGTTTGAGTCTCTCTGTCCCCTTCAGCTATAGTAATAATATCGGAGTCTCTGTGGGAGACACATTTAAAAGAAGGACTACATCTGTCCAATCATTTGGGGAACTTGGCAAGCAGGTCCTATTGCTGTTGTTTTTCAACTCAGTTTTGCTGGAGATAGCAACCCTTGGTCCTTTGTTGACTTCTCTGGGGTGTGGCTGCTTATCAGCTTGGTGGCAGAGGGTTCTAATCTCTGCCCCCCTCCACCTTGCTCCCCTTCCTTGAACTTGTAGCTCACTAGGAGACCTGTGGTGTACATAGCTGGGATCAGGCCAGGCACAGAGAGAAACTTCTCAGACAGTCACTTGCCACTTTGATTTCCCTTTCCTTCTCCCTCAAAATTAATGTGTTGGCTGCACCCAAGGCTGCACCTTTCCTTCCCACCCCCCAATTCCCATCCTCTTTTCTGGTGTTTTTTTTTGTCTTGTTTCAGTTTTCTCAGCAAGGTTGTCCAAAGATACAAGGTCCATTAGATGGAGCATATATAATAAGCCTACAAATTTGAGAAGCCTCACAGTCACTCAATTCAAATATTTACTAAGCTTCATGGGCAAGACATCATGCTAAGCTGTGGTAAGATACAAAGATGATGAAAAAAAAGAACATAAAAAGAAAAATGATATAGTCCTTACCTTTAAGGAGGTTACATTTTAGTAGGAGAGTGAGATGTATACAAATTAATTCAATACAAGTGATAACCAGAGAAGTGAATAGAAGTCATATTAAAGAAACATAAGAGATTAGGAAGGAGAGATATCTTTTACTAGAGGGAATCAAGGAAGCCTTCATGGAAATGTTGACAAATGAACTGGGCCTTGAAGGGAGAAAATTTCCATAGGAAAAGACAAATGCACAAAGGCCAGACATAACAGGAAAGACAGAATTATAACAATGTACCTTCTTTTTTTGAAACTGGTGAAACTTCTGGCTCTGAGTAAAAGTTTAACTAGGTTTCAGGCAAAGATCAGGTAAGCAAAAAACACTTGTCTGCTTGTTTCCTTGGACCAGTTCCACGAATGTTTTCCTTAATAATGGTTCTTTACCAGCAAACAACATCCAGTTGGGGAAGATAACAATGGTCTATAACCAGACTGTGACCCTAGGTACCCATAACTCTTAATTAAATGTAGGTGACCTTTTGGAAGGCCCTCCCCAAGGACATGGAGCAAGGGCAATCGGGGCAGAGCAGCCTCCCTGCTATTTTTTTCCAGTTCCCTCTAAGCTCTGAGAGGTTTCAGATTTTACCTGAAGGAAAATTCCCCAGAGAACTTTTTCTTGGATCCTGACCCTGATAGGGGCTTATAGATAAAAAACAAAAGCCAAGTAAGTGAAATATGGAGAGAAAGAAGAAAGCAACAAAGAACCAAAGAATGTGACATGGTTGAGAGGGTGAGAATGGTTAGATGTTGGAGCCATAGCAGCATCCCAGCATGATTCTATATGCGGTACTCTGCCACTGCAGGTCAAACCAAGGGCTGTCAGGCATCTCTTCTCCCCAGTGACAGAGAGAAGCAATGAGGACTCCACGACAGAATCCCAGAACCAGCCATGGCTACCCAAGATTCAGAGATGGGACTGTGGTGAGGCTGCCTTGCATTGGCTTCTCCTTTCCCCTTTCTCCATCCCCATACATGCCTGGAGGGAGAGATCCTCTCACTGGTTAGTTACCTTCCTCTTCCTCCCGGCCCCCGCCCCCACCCTGCTCCTCCCCTACTATGCTCCCCTGCTGTACCTATTCCATAATGGAGGACTAGGTTTAATGACTCCCTTCCCTAACCTTGTAGCAGCAATCTGTGGCTGCTCTTAAAACTGCTTGTAATCCATATTATTTTAATTATTTAAGCATTTTCTTAGTGTGTGTGTATACACCTATGCATGTATTAAAATCTGGATGGCCATTAAAATCAGTACCAATTTAAATTATTTAAATGATAGCTTTAAGTTTGGGAACTGAAGGATGACAAAACCCAGGGGAAAAAGCATATTTAAAAGTATTAGGGCTACCCCAATATGAGTCAATCTCAGTTGGGATTATCCCAATACAAGCTAACGCTGCTGAAGTGAGATTTCTGACTGGGGGGCGGGAGTGGGGTGGGGGAAGGAAACAAGAATAAATAAAGATGATAATTGAGGAAGAAAGAGAACAATCCTTGGGGCCAGGTACATGCAAGTCATTTTGTTCCTTTGCCCTGAAAGCCCACCCTTATTGGGAGATTCCTTTCCTGGAAGAAGAGTCAGGAGAGAGGAAAAAGACAAGAGACTGCAAGTGAAATGTAAGGGCGTGTCCATTCAGTCCCTGGCTCAGTGGGTGGCTGACAGCTCAGCTGCTTGTGCTTATTAGAGCCATCTAGTGGCTATAGTGCACATAGACAGAAGACTAAAGCCGAGCGCAAAGGTGGAAGGAACCTCAGCAAAACTCTGGACTCATCCTTTCATTTTATCCATGATAGCACTGAGGACCAGAGAGGTAAAGGGTGAATTGCTCAAGGCAACACTTTCCTTAAGCGGCAAAGCAAGGATTAGAACCCAGATCTTCTTATTCCTAATCCAGTTCTTTCCACTACATTATGTTAGCCATTACAGTATTGAAAATATGAATTTGGACTTAACTGGGTGCTTTCTGCGGCCTTTGTCCATATTTCCTCAGTAACCCAAATTGCTTTAGATGACAATGGAAAGAGGATGTAATGCCAATTCAGCGAGACACAGGATCTCACTTTTTGCTTTTAATTTCAGATAGATCTAACATGTAATTATGATTTTGGGTAAAGACTGACCTTTTGAATGTTTAAAATTGTGACTGCCTCCGAGCTGATGTTTGTGGGTACACAACCAAGATATCACACACATGATTAGCCAGGCCATATGAATTCCTGGTATTTTGTATCAGGCCAGGATTTTTATTTTGGTGTCATATGTTTCAAGTACTCACATTGTTCTCTAACCTTTCAATATTTTTGTTGTTATTTCTAACACAAAAACATTTTGGGGTGACTTTCCTACATCATATTTCAGTGCTTTTCCCCCTTGAGATGTATTTTATAATGTTGATTCACAAGCTGTATTAGATACTTGTTCTAGGACCTAATATTTACAATAACATAATATGAACAAAAAGTATTTTCTTTAAAAAAGCATAAGATTAGAGCTGATATAGGTGAACTGGGCTACATGAGAAATATCCATTGATTTTGCCTACAACATACAATTTGTGGATTCTATTAATTATGATAATTATGAAATATTTACTGAATGCCAACAATACACTAGATATATGAGCAGCTATATGACAAGTCCATCCCTCTGAGCATGTTTTCTTACCTGTTCAATAGACATAAATAGGATTGTTGTGAGCTAAGTGTTTTTCAAGACTTAAAATGACATACAAATCTTAGTTATTATGTCATTAAAGACTCTTGAGTCTCAGTATCATTGGGTACTTTGGTAAATTCATGATTTTATCAGTGTGGATACTCCCTTCACCAGTCCAGATCAAACCTTCACACCTTCTTATCCTTGTCCATCCTTTCCTATGTCTTTCCATAAATCCAAAGGTCATAGGAATTAGAGTTCCAGGGAACTTTGGAGTTCTCAAAAGTAGACACCTTGTTCGTATTTTAAGAGGTACTAATGGACTGTCCACTATTATTTTTTTAAAAATCAATACATTTTGTTTTATAACAGCAGGAATTTTGCAACAAACATCCTAACAAACCTCATAAAATAGAATATGTTAACAGAAAGGACAGGTATTTTCTTTAACTTTTACAATATGGTACTAACTTTATTGTAAATGAGTAGACTTTTGTTGCCTATAGATCATCATTTAATTTGCATTGTTGTAGTAATTGTGTATTGTTCTTTTGGATTCATTTTCTTCAATCTTCATCATTTCATAAGTCTTCCCCAGTTTCTCCGAGTTCTGCATATTTGTCATTCCTTTAGGCACAGTAGCATTCCATTATATTAATATATTATCATTTGTTCAGCCATTCTCCTATTGTTACGCACAATTTGTTTACAGATTATTGTTACCACAAGTAATACTGCTATGAACATTTTTTCCACAAGTCTTTTTTTTTTTCTCTTTTGCTATCAAAACTTTTTTCAAAGACTTAGTAGTGGAATCTCCCAGTCAGTGTACGAAAAATTTAGTGCCTTTTCTTGAATAATTACTCATTGTTCTCCAGAATATTTAAGCAAATTCATAATGCCATCAATAGTGAATTAGTATGCCTGTCTCCCCCACAGGCCTTCCAAGAATGAGCCCCCCCCCTTTTTTTGCACATTTACTAGATTGATGAGTGCAAAGTGATACCTTATGTCATACACTAGGACTGACTCAGGCCATTCCTCTGGTAGTTAAGGTCAGAAATTAGAACAAAATGAGATACTTATGATCTATCTAACAGTTAACAAAAATAGGTTTACTCAGCTTTAGCAGTGGAAGGGATGTTCATGAAGGATGTATAGTCTTGATTTAGCTGAGCATAGCTCTTCTAAGTTGGTTTTGGTCATCCCTTGAGTCTCAGGCCTAAGGAAGGAGCCTATGTCCTGCATGTTTTCATAGTCCAGTCACCAGGGAGCTTCATCAATGCCTGAGCCAATCACATCTAGAAGACTGATTCCTCACCGTTAAAAGAAAATTAGCCTAGCCTTAAAAATATTAGTTCAGCCTGTTTCACAGAGCCCTAGGAAATCTTGTTCCTATAACACCTTTGAACCGTTTTGTTTTCAGATGGTTATAGTATGTATTTCTTCTTTTGAAAACTATCTATTCATATCTTTTGACCACTGTTTATTGAGAAAGTTTTTTTGGTCACATATTTGTGTCAATTCCCTAAAGACTTCAAATGTGAGGTGTTTTATATAAGTAATTTAATTCTTTCTAATTTTAGCTGTATTCATTAGGAAAGTTTTACATTTTATGTAACTGACACTTTCTACTTTTGTCTTTCATGATATCTTCTATTCAGTTTCTGGTTATCAATTCCCCCCCCCCCCATATTGGGGGTTTTTAGCTTTCAGTCTATGAATTAGATTTCAGGGGATCTGTGGACATGAATGGGGAAAATTATATCTTTATTTCAATATAATTGTTTTTCTTTTCAAACTTTATGCATTTTATTTTATACACTAAAAATTCATTAGTCTGAGAAAGGGGTCCATGACATAAAAAAGATTAAGAATCTCTGCTCTTCTTTCTCTTATATGCATATACATAGCAATTTTAAAATATACATAACCTTTCATTTTTCCCTACTCTTTTATAGTATCATTTTATATTCAGATAATTTCTAATTGTGTGATATAAGGCACAGAATGCTGATCTAAATCTATTTTTCCCCTAAACTACTTTGTACCATTCTGTTCAATATCATCTGTGAATTATGAAGACTTGGATAACTTTATCATTAAGAAGTTCTTTTGTTTGGATTTTGCACAAGTTATCTTCAATGACATTGGCAAATGCCTCTTGACAAAAACTCTTAACTAATAAGAATTTGTAGTTTATATTGAAGGACAAGGGTATGTAATAAATGAATTTATCATATTTCCATGAGGAACAGGATCCTCTTTAAGCAAAACTGGGATGATGCAGTGGGAAAAGCCCTGGATTTGTAGTCAGACAGTGAGATCAGATCCCAGTTTTGCTACATACCTGGCAAATTACTTAATTTCTTTGATTGTGACTTCTCTCATCTGTAAAATGAGGTGGTTAGATCATTAGACCATCTTCAAAGTCACTTACAGCTCTAAATCCTATGATACTTAACAGGCAAACTTTATCTTCACTGTCAGCTTTCTATGCTTTTTCCTTTTCTGTCATCTTGACTCAAACTCCTCCTACTCAATAGCCTTTGGCCCTTTTTCCATACTCTCCCCCCACAAACAAAGAAACAAACAAGCCTGCATTCACATGCAGGTGTTTGCATTTTAACTAGAATCAAAGCTTTAAACAAAAGGAAAGAGGTTTTTGGCAAAATGTCTGGTAGTTTCTATCTTCTATGGGAGGTACTATTTATTTTATGTTATTTTGAGGTGACCAAAATTCTCAACCCAATGAAATCACAAAAAAAGAGACAAGAGTCTATTCCACCTATGTTCAGGACAACTCTGGCTGAGATAAATATTACTTGTTCTATTTTACAGATGGCTCACCTGAAGCTTATAGATGACTAGTGATTTGCCCAAGGTTATATCATGAGTCACTCATGAGTATATCTAAAAATAGAACCCACAAAATGAAAATATGACTCCCAGTCACATGTTCTTGCCACTGGACCATACTTCTGTTTTAAAAAATGTAAACAGTCTCTCTTACATCATCTGAAACTGAAGACTGATTTTCTTTCCTCTCTGTAAACATATAAAACTGGCATAAGGGAATTAACAGAGTTCACACCTAAAGTACAGTATTATGCTATTTTCTGGGTAGGACAGTGATAAATTGTGGGGTATCCAAAGAAGGGTAGTCAGGATGGTGAAGGGCTGGAGGACCGTGCCATATGAAAATCAATAGAAGGAAACTAGGGTGTTTAATCTGAAAGAGAGAAGACTGAGGGAGCACATAATAACTGTTTTCAAATACTTGAAGAGCTAAACTGTGGAAGAGGGATTCAACTATTCTGCTTGGCTCTAGAGGGCAAGTCTAGGATCAAAAGGTAGATACTGTATAAAGGCAGAGTTCAGTCTGATTGAATTCTAAACAATTAGAACTACTCTAAAGTGGAATGAGCAACTTCAGGAAGTAATAGGTATTCTTCCCTGTAGCTCTTCAAGGAAAACCTGGATGAAAAACCCTTTGTCAGGTATATTGGAAAGGGGATCCTTACTCACCTATAGGTTGGAATAGATGGCTACTGAGTTCCTCTTCTTTTCTGAGATGCTGTGATTTATCTAGTCATTTCTGCTTTATAAAATAAAAATGAACAGTCACTCCAGAGTTCCCCTTTAGAAAATTCTAATTCTTTGTTTAATAGAAGAGATTCCTACCTCCATTCAAAGGAACATCTCAAGGGCTACCTCCTATGCATAAACCTTTCCCTGATTCCTCCAGTTGCTAGCAATTTCCTACTTTCACTCCCAAGTTACTTTATATCTATTAGGCTCCTATATTAAACAAGAATTGGAATTTTCTGAAGGGAAATTTTCACATGATATTAAGTTTTTATTAGGTTACTATGATGGGACACTAATGATGGGTCCCTAAAAGGCCCTGAACTTTCCCACCTTGGTCCAGAGCCCCAGTGCTCCCCTGAGGCCTTCCCAGCCAATAATCTTTTTAACTGGGCTTTCATTGTGGCCCTCATTGTCTGTACCTGGCCCACCCCAGATTACTTGTTACTCTTTAATCCCATCTAGACCCTTTTCTTGATTACCTCCAGACTACCCCAGGCTACTTACCACTCCTAAATCCCATCCAGAGCTTCCCACAGTTTTTCTGTATAAAAGTGTACATCTTGTCCCCACTAAATTATGCAGATTCTTAAAATCTCACCCACTTCTGTTGACAGCACAACAAACCTTTTCTCTGAAAGAAGGCTTGAGTGGTTGAATTCTTTCAAGGCAGACCTACACCCTTTGCCCTTGCATTTTGGGGTTCCCAAGACCCCTAGACCACAACAACTAGACTTCTTTTGTATTTGCTTATTTATCTGTATTGTTTTCCCCCAGTAGAATGTAAACTTCTTGGGATGAGGAACCATTTTTGCTTTTATCTTTGTGGCCCCAATGAAAAGCACAACATTTGCTGTATAGTAGTTCCTTAATAAAATCTTATTTGAATTAAATTGACAGTATTTTTGGTGTCAAGGAGGAAGGTGACTTTGCATTTAAATAATTTCACTAGTAAGGAGAGTCAAACTATCTTCATCCAGGAGAGGATCAATAGTTTTGGGAACAAATGGAACATGGTAATAACAGTAATGGTAACTAACATTTTCAGACACTTGACTCACAACTTTGTGAGGTACCTGCATAATTAATATCCTTGTTTTACAGATGAAGAAATAGTGGCCCAAAGAATTAAGTGACTTGGTCAAGATCCCTTCCTGAGCTAAAGAACCAGAATTTGAGGTAAGACTTGAAAATCAGGGATATCTTGACTTTGATAAACAACCTTGATGTGACTCTGTCAGGTCTGTAGACTTCTTATAACACTGGATGTATTCTGTCAATTTTTTTAGTTGCATTATTATCTAAAGTACTTTACATAAAGTATATCTAGACCTGTGCCTGCATACAGGTCACCAACTTATCTTAATTTCCAGACTTCCCTGGAGCACCGAAAGTTCAAATGACTTGGCCTATGTCATGTGGCCAATAAGAGAGGCAGGCCTCAAACTTTGGTCTTCCTGGTGCTAAGACCAGTCCACTATCCACTATACCAAGCTGCTTCCTTAACCTACTTGCTTAGGTACTGAAGTAACATTTCCCTACTATTTCCCCCTTTCATTTGCACTTCAGAACACATACCACGTAGGGAACGTATTCTCTTCCTACTACCTTCCCTCTCTATTATTTGTAGTGAGACATGGAACATAGATTAACAATTTTTTTGACTCCTGTATTAGTAACCTAGTATCATCACCAATGTTAGACTTTGAAAACACAATCTATGAGTTCTTCCCTGGGGCTAGATTTTGGGAAGCCAAGCCCAACACATTGCCAGTATTTCATGTAATATGGTCACCTCAGAAGCAAAAGGAAAGGTGGCAAGAAAAAGCATATTGCTACAAGACATATATTTCATACTATACCTTCATGGGAATTAATTTTCCTGAGAAAAATCACAATGCTTTATTTATGTCATAAAGAAGTATAACCTTTGGATAAGAACATCTACAAATTCATTCAAATAAAGAAATACAAATAAACTAGAGGAAGTAGACAAATCAACAAAAACCACTTGAGTGCCAGGCACTGGGGTAAGTATCCTTCTTTCCAATGCTCACTATCTCTAAGTTGAATTTCTATTCAAATAGCAAATCAATTATAGTCCTCTGTACTGCTAGAAAAATTCATTCAAGTGTTATTTTCAGGAGAAAAAATGGATTATCATTCTTACAGATTTTTTTCTGCACAGAATTCTCATCATACTGGGATTCTGGAGGATTAAGTAGAAATATGGAAATAACAAAATGAATACCTCTAAGGTATCTGCTAGCTTTAAATCTTATAGTGCTGTTGTACCTTGGGTACCCTCCTCTCACATGTGAGCCCTTGGGATAGCCACTTTAGATTCAAGGTGTTCCTTTGGGTCTGCATCCATTCAAAACAATATCTCATGAGCTTCCATCAATGTACTATAGTCAGCCAGAGGACACAAGTTTTAAAAAAAAGGCATTTAATAGCATGGTAAAGAAAATCACATTAGAACATTTCATTCCCTTACCTCCATTTTTCATAATCGTAGAGATTATACATAAACAATAGGTAATTCAAAACTCAGACACTGACTGTCTTCTGGGGATGTTGCTGGGTCTTCTCCCATTGAGTGTGAAATCTCCAATGGGAATGTGTTTTTTAATTTAATTTTTTATTTATAGTTCCATATTCTTTCCCTCCATACTCCCCCATTGAGAAGGAAAGAAATGTGATACTCATTATCCATATATAGCTGTACAAAACATATTTGTGCATCAGGTATGTTCTGAGAAAAAAAAGAAAGAAAAAGAAAGTAAAAAAATATGCTTCAGTCTGCCCTCTGAGTCCATCAGTGCTCTCTCTGGTAGTGGACAGCATTTTATATCATGTGTCTTTTAGAATCGTAGTGGATCATTGTATTGATCTGGGTTACTAGGTCTTTCATAGTCGATTATCATTATAATATTGCTATTATTATGTATATTGTTCTCCTGGTTCTGCTTATTTCACTTTGTCTCAGTTAAGATAGGTCTTTCCAAGTTTTTCTGAAACAATCCCCTTTGTCATTTCTTATAGCACAATAGTATTCCATCAATTTATATACCATAACTTGTTCAGTCACTGCCCAATTGATGGAGATCTCCTCAGTTTCCAATTCTTTGCTACCATAAAAATTGCTGCTATAAATATTTTTCTACATATGGGTCGCTTTCTTTTTTCTTTTATCTCTTTGGGCTATAGACCTAATAATAGTATTGCTGGGTTAAAGGGTATACACAGTTTTATAGCCCCTTGGGTATGGTTCCAAATCATTCTCCAGAATGGTTGGAATAGTTCACAGTCCCACAAATAGTACATTAGTGTACCAATTTTCCCACATCCCTTCCAACATTTGTCATTTTCTTATCTATCATCTTAGCCAACCTAATGGGTATGAAGTGGGACCTCAGAGTTATTTAAATTTGCACTTCTCTAATTATTAGTGATTTGGCACATTTTTTCATGTGACTATTGATAATTTTGATTTCTTCCTCTGAAAACTGCTTGTTCATATCCTTTGACCAACAATTGGAGAATGGTTCTTATTAATTTGGCTCAGTTCCCCATACATTTGAGAGATGAGATCTTTATTGGAGAAACTTGTTGAAAACATTTCTCCCAGCTTCCTGCTTTCCTTCTAATTTTAGTTGCACTAGTTTTATTTCTGCCCCCCCAATTTTTAAAAAAATTTTATGTAATCAAAATTATCTTATTTACCTCCTGTGAATCTCTCTATTTCTTTTGTGGTCATGACTTCTTTTACCTATAAATATGACAGGTAATGTCCCCCTAATTTGTTTATATCACTATGTCTAAATCATGTTCAATTTTGAGCTTAACTTGGTACATGGTGTGAGGATGTTGTTCTGTGCCTATTATCTACCAGACTACTTTCCAGTTTTCCCAGCAGTTTTTTTTTGGGGGGTCAAATAGTGAGTTTTTGGCCCAGTGGCTAGAATCTTTGGCTTTTTCAAGGCTACTGTGCTTATTTGCATCTAACCTATCCCATTGACCAACCATTCTATTTTTCTTCCAGTACCAAAATGTTTTAATGATTACTATCTTGTAATATAGTTTAATACTGGTGCTGCTTGCCCCGCTTCTTTCACATTTTTTTCATTGATTCCACTGATATTTTTTACCTTTTGTTCCTTCAGGTGAATTTTGTTATTATTTTTTCTAGCTCTATAAATGATTCTTTAATAATTTAATTGGTATGGTCCTAAATAAGTAATTAATTTAGGTAGTATTGGCATTTTTATTATATTAGCTTGGTCTACCCATGAGCAATTATTATTTCTCTAATTATTTAGATCTATCTTTATTTGTGTGAAGTGTTTTATAATTGCATTCATATAGTTCTGGGTTTGTTTTGGCAAGTAGGCTCCCAAGTATTTTATATTGTCTGCAGTTCTTTTAAATGGAATCTATCTCTTGCTGCTGGGTTTTGTTGGTAATATATAGAAATGTTGATGATTTGTGTGAATTTATTTTATAGCCTGCAAATTTGCTAGTTGTTCAATGTTTCAACTAGTTTTTTAGTTGTCTCTCTAGAATTCTTTATAGCATCATGTCATCTGCAAAAAGTGATAGTTGTTTCTTTTTCATCTATATTCCTTCAATTTACTTTTTTTTTTGCCTTATTGCTATATCTAGCATTTCTAGTACATTGTTAAATAATAATGGTGACAATGGACATATTTGCTTCACCTCTGACCTTATTGGAAAGGCTTCTAGTTTATCCTTATGGCAAGCAATGCTTGCCCTTGGCTTTAGATAGATACTACTTATCATTTTAAGAAAAATTCAACTTATTTCTATGTGTTCTAGTGTTTTTAGTAGGAATGACTGTCGCAATTTGACAAAAGATTGTTGTGAATCTTTTGATATAATCATATGATTTTTGTTGTTTTTTGTTATTAATATGGTTGATTATATTTACAATTTTCCTAATATTGAACCAGCCCTGCATTCCTGGTATAAATTCAGCCTGGTCATTGTGTATCTTCTTTGTGGTATGTTGCTGTAATGTCCTTGCTAGCATTTTATTTCAAATTTTTGCATTAACATTCATTAGGGAAATTTTCTTTCTGTTTTTTCTCTTTCCCTGGTTTGGGTATCAAGACCATATTAGTGTTACAGAAGGAATTTGGTCATACTCCTTATTTATTCTTTAAAATAGTTTGTATAATATTGAAATAAATTAGTCTTTAAATTATTGGTTGATTCGTTTTTGTTTGTTTGTTTGTTTTTGGTAAATCTAGCTGGTCCTAGTGTTTTTTCTATGGGAGCTCTTCTATGGCTTGTTTGATATCTTTTTCTAAGACAGGGCTATTTAAGTATTCTATTTCCTCTTTGTTAAACTGGGCAATTCATATTTTTTGTAAATATTCAACCTTTTCATTTAGATAATCAGTTTTATTTGCATATAGTTGAGCAAAATAGCTCCTAATAACAGGTTTAATTTCATCTTCATTGGTTGTGCGTTCATCTTTTTCATTTTTGATACTAGTAACTGGTTTTCTTTCTTTTTTAAAAAATAAAATGAGCTAATAGTTTATTTTATTGTAGATTTTTCCATAAAACCAGCTTCATTTTATTTTTTTTTACTTCCAATTTTATTAATCTCTCTTTTGATTTTAAGATTTCTATTTTCATGTCTGGGGATTTTTAATTTATTCTTTTTTCTAGTTTTTTTTCTTAGTTGCATGTACAATTCATTGATTTGCTCCTTCTCTATTTTTTATTGATGTAAATGTTTAGAGGTACAAATTTCCCCTTCAGTACTGCTTTGGCTGCATTCCACAAATTTTGGTATGTTGTTTCATATCTTTATGAAGTTATTGTTTCTATGATTTGTTCCTTCATTCATATTTTTTAGGATTAGATTATTAGTTTCCAACTAATTTTTAATCTATGTTTCAAAGGCCTTTTATTGAAAGTAATTTTTATTGTATTATCAACTGAAAAGGAAGCATTCAATATTTCTATTTTTCTGCATTTGTTTGTGAGGTTTTTATAATGCCCTAAAACATGGTCAGTTTTTGTGAAGGTGCCATGTACAGCTGACAGAAAGGTATATTCCTTTCTAATCCTACTTGGTATTCTCCAGAGGCCTGCCATATTTCTTTTCTAAAATTATATTCATTTCCTTAACTTATATCTTGTTTGTTTTATGGTTAGATATATCTAGGTCTGAGAGGGGGTAAATTTAGGTTCCCCACTAGAATATTTTTACTATTTCCTTCTGTAAGTCAATTTTTTTCCTTTAAGAATAGGAATGCTAGTGCATATATGCTTAATATTACTATTAACTCATTGTCTATGGTACCTTTTAGTGAAATGTTGTTTACCCAATTATCTTTTAATTAGGTCTATTTTTGCTTTGTCTGAGACTGTGATTGCTACCCTTGCCTTTTTTACTTTATCTGAAGCATGATACACTCATCTCCTGCCCCATATTTTAACTCTATGTGTATCTTCCTGTTTCAATGGTGTCTTTTGTAAACAACTTATTATTGGAATCTATTATTCTCTTCCATTAAATGGGTGAACTCATCCTATTGACAGTTACAATTGCTAATTGCGTATTTCCCTTTATCTTATTCTCTTCTATTTATCCTTATCTTTTTAAAAATTCTGTTTCAACACTCCCCACCGGCTTTGTCATTTTCTGAAGACTTGCCACTCCCAAAGTGGACAACAAAGCTATTGAGTTTCTCCTGCTACAGACATCATATGAAGCATATCACTGGACTCCTCTTAAAGGTCATGTGGAACCAGGAGAGAGTGACTTAGAGACAGCTTTTAGGGAGACCCAGGAGGAAGTTGGCCTGGATGCCAGCCAGCTGAACACCACTGAAGGATTCAGGAGGGAGCTGAACTATGTAGTCAACAACAAGCCCAGAACAGTTATCTACTGACTGGCTGAGGGGAAGGACTACAACATGGACATTCAGCTGTTTGGAAGCACCAGGCTTACTTCTGGCTGAACCTACAGGGGGCCTGCCAGCTGGCTTAGTTTAAGGATATGACAACATCCCTCAGAGAAGGGCACCAATTTCTCTGCTCCAACACAACTTGACCCCAGAAAAGGGAAAGGCTTTTGAGATATCCAAGATTCAACCTACTGAGGTTCTCAGGTGTCTCTTCTAAGATCAACCCTGACCCTGGTTAGATCATCCAGCCCTGCAGTACAGGGAAGCTGAAGCAACTAATGAAATTAGGTGAAGCCTTTTAGGTCAGAGCAAATGTTGTGGTATTAAAATGAAAGAGTGGTATGGAAATACATAAAGCCAAATTTCTTTGCTCAAGTATCTGAGGAATAAACTGTTAAAAACTCAGCTGTCATTCATCTTTTAATTAAAAAAATTCTGTTTCAAAAATGCACTTTTGCTTCTGACTAGCACCTTCCTTAATCTACTCTTCCCTTTCTTTTAGTCATTTCCCATACTTCTGTGCCGGGTAAGATGAATCAATCTCTCTCTCTCTCTCCTTCTTTGAACAAGTTCAGATGAGAGTGAGGTTCAAATGTTGCCTCCCCATTTCCCCCTCCACTATAAAAACTGTTTCTTGTGCACCTCTTTTATGCGAGATAATTTCCCCCATTCTACCTCTTTCCCCTTCTCCCCATGCATTCCTCTTTCTTACCCTCTTTTTTTTTTAGATCATCTCAACATAATTGACTCACCTATGCCTTCTATGTTGATTCTTTCTAACTACCCTAATAATGATAAAGTTCTTAGGAGTTACATACATCATCTTCCCATATAGGAATATAAATAGTTTAACCTTATTAAGGCTTTTATTATTTCCCTTTCATGTTTACCTTTTTATGCTTCTTTTGAGTCTTGTCTTTGAATATCAAATTTTTTTTCCGCTCTAGTCTTTTCATCAAGAATGCTTGAAAGTCTTCTATTTCATTAAATATCTATTTTTTTTCCCATTGTAAGATTATACTCAAT